TATCATCGGGTGAGCAGAATTTCCACCGGTAGTATCATTTAGTCACCGGCACAAAATAGATCCACTGGCCATCGATTGACTGCCGGTCGGCACTAAATACTGCCGGCCGGCTATAAATTCCTGCAGAACCTGTAACTCACAGCAGCAGAGGGCAAGGCAAAGCATGGCAGCACAATTCAAGGCATATATGCACCAACCATGTCCCTTATCATGATAATGACTCAAAGGGGCATGTGCCTCGATTCTCGGACCACCAATCACGCATTTCCATGCATGATGGCCCAAAGAACCAAGTATACAACTTTGATTTCAAATGCATGCAAACCAAATCAAACCAAAGTCCTAATCCCTATCACCAAATCAAGGGACAAGGCATGTATGCAAGATGCAATGCAACCTAAGCATACAAGCTAAGGATGCAACATGGCATGGCAACTAACCTATGCAAGCATACAAGCATACATATGGCAATGCAAATAGATGGAAAGATGGACTTATGCATGAATTAGGCAGCTCCAAATAGGCCTAAAACAGTAGCCATAATGCCCAACAATGAAGCCTAAACATACATGCACACATACACATGTTAAGGCCCAACACTTAGGCACAAAGCAAGCAACATTCAAGTACACTTGAAAGAGGCAATCATGAACAATTGGCATGCAACGCGAGCTCTAAAATCATGTTATAAAATGATGCCAAATCACATTAAACAAGACAAGCAAGTGCATGCAAGCATGGTCCAAGTACTTGAAGCAAGTCATGAAGCTTTGAAGCATGTTTATCACAACAAACATGGCATGCATTAAACCACTAAAACAGATTTTTAGCATGTCAAAACAAGGCCAAAGGACTTCTTAGATGGCATCTAAGTGGCTCAAATGCAAAGGCATACATAGATACCAAAACATGGAGCATTGCTACGCAAGCTTCCAAAGCATTAAAGAGGCATGCAAGGCAATCAAACAAGCATGGAAATGGGACTGAAATAACATATAAAGTGACTCCAAATCACCAAATCGATGCAAAGATGTCATGCTACACATGCATATGCTCAAGGCCAACAAGCCTAAATACAAAGGAGCTATATGATGCATGCCAAAATCGACCCAAACACTTATGGACAGACCTAAATCATGACAAAATAAGCACATAATCTTCACAAGACTAAGCCTAAAACATGCTCCAACAAAGGCTAACAACCTAAGACATGTTAAGGCATAGACAAGGCATTACAAGGCAACTATGCTAAGCATGCATGGAGTACCAAAACCAATTTAAAATCATGTTATATTATGGATATATAAGCATGAAAAACAGCCCAAACATGCTCAACACACACTCAAGCATAATGCTCTCTCAAGAGGCCAAAACATGCCCTTTTCAAGGACAACAAGGAGAGGGGGTGGCCCTCTCCTTCTTGGGACTTCAAGGCATCATCTTCACCACTGAAATCCCTCAAGATTTCAGTGGTGAAGAGACCCCAACACCAAAATCCCGGAGCTAGCACAAAATGGCCCAAAATGAGGCCTTTCAAGGCCTAAGGGTGGTCAACAACCCTCAAACAACAAAACACTCTTAATAAACAATAAAGAGGGCCTAAAAACAGAACTTTTTTATGTTATACAATAAGCACAAAAACAGCTCTAAGATAGGTATAAAATCAATGCAAAAATGGGGGAAAATGTGATTAGATTCTCACCCTTGATGACCCCTTCACAAATGGCGCTCCAATGGCCTTCTTTTGCTTGAATCCAACTCCAAAACTTCAAAACCAGTCCCTTAGAACCTCAAGAGCTAAAAGAAGGTGAAACACTATGTGTTTGTGTGCAATAATAAGACACAAGTGCACTAAAACACACACAAGAGGGAAAAAGAGAGAGATAAGGTGTAACAAACCCTAACCCTAGAACTCAAACCCTAACAATGGCTATCTAAGCTCTCAAAATATCCTAAAATGTCCAACCTCTCCAGCCAAGAGACCCCTCTCTCTCTATATGGCACTTCTTGTCTTGTAAAGCTTACAAGGCAAGCTTCAAAAGAGGGAGATCCCTCTATACACGTGTATGGAGGGGAGCAAAAGCAAGACAGCTGTCTAAAAATATCTGCAAAAGCAGATGAATAGCAATCGGCCGGCCAAAAATGCCATCTTGGCCAAAAAGAGTGCCGACCGGCACAAAAAAGTGCTGACCGGCAACAAAGAGTGCCGGCCGCCAAACTATATTGCCGGTGGCAACAAAAACCAGCCGGTGGCATCTAGCCACTGCCGGTGAAGGGTGGGGATGGTCTACAAGCCCCACTCTGCCTCTCAAAGGCAAGATGCAAGTGTTTGGTGCAAAACCAGACACTAAACGGTCGAGTTCGGGGATCCTGAGGCAAGGCGCGCGAGCCAAGACCTCCGGGAACTCCAAACGAACACAAACATGGAAGATCACCGTGTGTTCAAACGGTGACGTCCAGGTCTTGAGGACTGTCAAAAATGGGGTGTCTACACATATTCATAAATCAGATCATAACAGAATTAATTCTCATATCAGAACATAATAATGGTACATCCCATAGAACACATCACATCTTCATCTAACTAGAGTAATCGGTTTCGGATACTGACTAAACATATAACCGCTTTGACAAGTGGCTAACTAGATCTCATAATCACATATATGTCACGGATCCACATTAACATGTCATCCCCCATGACTTGGGACTATCTATGGATGCCATAATAGATTTCAAACATAGGACATTCATTCACGTAAATAAATATCGTTTCAGAAATCGTAACTTCTCATATATCATTTCGAATATAATTCATACAAACATATCTTTACAATAACGTTACTCACAGTGGGCTTCCATAAACAGTTGGTCAGTCTTTGAGTCTTGACCAACAAACACAAATGTACGTAGCACAAAACATGTCTCATTATTACTCATTCATATGGCTATACATGGCTTAGCTTTCTTCATTTGACTTCTTATTCATTCCATGTCACATAACTTGTTCATATTGAACCACATACTCAGATTCGACACATATTTTCTAATTCACTTACGTATGATGTTTCTTAGCTTATTAATCCTTTATGGCTAATAAATCAAGCCTAAGAATGTCCAGAAAGAGATGGCAGCGAAGATATGTACTTAAACATCTCTGGAAAACATGTTGAAAGTAGCCTGTTGGCTAGAGCGAGCTAAAGGAAAAAACTGAGCTCGCTCGAGCCACCATTTGGTCGCTCGAGCCAGTGTTTGTAGAGTTCAAAATACTGGAAGCTCGTAATGTTGGCTCGAGCCACCACTTGGTCGCTAGAGCTAGTTGTGAATTTTCTGGGTTTTAAAACACAAAGTTTGGGCTCCAAAAGTGTATTATAACTTGTAGAAGCTTGCATGGTCATTCCAAACTCATGAAAACATTTGGATAACACTTACAAACTTCTTTAAAATCATGAATTAAAGGTCAATTTACTAAATCAAAGCTCAAAACTTTCATGTATGCAAGATTTTCAACCCCTTTTTATCTCATACTCTTCAAAACATGGATTTGAGCTCCAAAACAATATAATTCATGAAGTAGAACTCTTGAAGCTTTTAGAAATCAATGATGCATGTGTAAATTAGCTTCCAAATCATTATCAAACTCAAGAATGGCAAAACATGGCAAAGTCATGCATGCGTGAAGAGTTTCTTCAAATTCTTTTTCCAAAGGTCATAAAACATGAAATTCACTCCCAAAGCTTTGTGAATTATGCATGCATGTACAATTCATCTTCTAAATTCAACATGGATGGTGTGAATCATGTTCAAAATGACGAAATTAAACAAAACTAAGCATGCATGCGTGAATTGACTCTAAATTAATCATCTTTAGTTCAATTCTTGTACCCTCTTGAATTGATCTAATTGATGGCTTAAATTCATAATTAATTATTGAATTCTCGCCTAGAATCCTGAATAAGCCAAATTCTTGCAAATCTTAGAGCTTCTCTTCTTAATCTTCAAGAATCAATCCTTAATCTTTCAAATTCTTTAGCTTTCTCTCTCTAAAAGTGAACTCACTCTCTCTCTAGAATACAATCTCAGATTTTTGCACTTAACAATGGGAAACATGAGCTCAAATGAGCTGAAGGCTCATGTTTATATAGTTGTGGTGGCTTAATACAATAATTAAAATATTTGGCCAACTAAACACAACTTAATTAATTAACTTGAATCAGTTTTTAATAAAATTTTCCATATAATTCTAAAAATTCCGAATAACATATTGATGTAACCAATTTTGGTTTCAGAGGCCAATAAGGCTTTCAACTTTCAGATCAAAGAAGAATTCCAGACACATATTTCTATGAGTAACAGATTGAAAGCCAAATAACATACAAAATACATAATTAGCATATAATTCCATTCTAAACACTTAGTTAGCATTCTTAATTACGGATTATTAGTTAATTACGGATGGAGATTGATACACCAAAACTAGGACAAGGTAACCATACCTCCTCATAGGGGCGCTTTGGCTTTCTTTAACTAGTATGTGCTTTATAGTGAAATTGTACAAGAATGCTTCATATCAGTGGTATAGTTGGTATCTGTTTTGGGGCAAAATTCAGTGGGGAGTACAATCCTATAGCTTTGATCATATATGTTCTGATGAAATCTTAGTTAAGGTGCTGTCCGTTTTTTTATTTTGTTTCTCTTTCTTTATTTATTTTGCTAGGTAGTCTAAAACCATAGCTTCAGTAAGTTCTGGTATCCCCCAAGTACTTTGGGCCTATGTCGAAAGACATTGCAAGGTCGGAGATCTTGTTCGGGGACAGCTAGTGTTTGCCTCACCATCACTAGCTTCAAGATGAAGAAGGATCAGACAAAGTTTACCAGTTCAGTTGTTTTAGCAATCACCCTTCAGCTCACCTATATTCAGTTCACCTCAAGCACAACCATCTACCCCTAAAATGGCTCACTATCCACCATCTTATTTGAAAGAATTACTACTTCATCTGCAGCAGTCACTCGACTCACTCCAACACGACATGACCCGTCAAGCTGAGATCACAAACATGTTACAACAACAGCAAAAGTAGCCAGCTGTAGCTTCTACTTCTACTTCGCACACACCTAGTGTGACTAGCCCCACATTCGGTACCGCTGCCAATACTGCTATATCTTAGGATCCGCATGCCGAGGGTGTTCTGGCTTTCCCCATCCCGGCAGACCCAACCCAGCATAGACATCTAGAGCCCTAGTTTATCAGATTAGGGCATCTTTTGAATTTGAGGTTGACTCGATCGTGCTCAAAGTCAACAAGCTGGAAAAACTATTCAAGAAGGCACAAGGGGTTAACTCCATTCCAAAAATAGAGGATAGGTATACTGAATCTGTAGTTACTTTGTCGGAGCTGTTCAAAATGCCGCATATTGACTGCTTCGACAACGCTGGAGGCCTAATGGTACATCTATGGCTGTTTTCTGACATCCTATGACCAATGGGTTTGACCAAATTGCAGAAGTTATCGCTCTTCAGCTAAACTATGTCGGGCATAGTTGCCATCTGGTATGCTAAGTTGAAGGATTTTCTGAAGCAGAACTAGGAGGAATTGGTGGACTCATCCATTGTTCAATACTCCTACAATATGTAGATCGAGGTCACAACTTGTGATCTTGAAGCAATGCATTAGAAGCCAAAATAGGGTTTCTCAGAGTTCGTAACTAGATGGAGGGCCAAGGCATCGATGATGACCACTCAATCCTTGAAGAAAGACCAAATACGGATGGTTTTTCAAAATCTTCATGGCAAGCTGCTACAGAAGATGATTGTTCTTCCCTGATTCACATTCAGAGAACTTCATGAAATAGAGGCTCAGATCAAAGATGCAATGAAACAAGGCATCATCATAGATGACAAAGAACTGGCTAAGAGGCCTTTTGTTCATAGTTCCAATGCTGCCGAGGGTAACACAGCTACGAGGCCGTCAGAGGTGAGTGTTATCACTACAACCAAAATCATTGATCCCTTTGCCAACATGAGCCCACAAACTTCCAACCCTACCCGACCTCTGGGCAGAACTTTCAACCAGCTCTACATGACTCTATCTCGAGCCATGCAGGTGCTAATAAAAAAATGGCATTTGAAACCCCTAGAACCTCGACCACTGTAGACACCCCATTTTTGACCGACCTTAAGACTCAGACGTCACCAGTTGAGCACTCGGTGATATTGCATGTTGTGCTTGTTTAGAAGTCTCAGAGTCGCGGCTGCGAGCCCTGCCTTCGGACTTCCAAACTGTCTACTGTGCCTTGCCTCGGTTTGCGAACCTGACTCGATTTTTTCTGTTTCTTTTCCTGAGGGGAGGGAGAGGACCCGTAGACCATCTCTCAATGTCCATCGGCTACATTTCGTGGCCGTAGGCCATTTTGCCCATTTCGGAGTCCGGTTTCCGATTTTTCGGAATCGTTGGCCGTGTGCCTCGGTTCGGGACCGCCTAACCATCTCTATTTGCCCCGATTTTTGGCATACTTCCTTTCTACTCCCTTTTGAGGGACACTGGGGTCGGAGAAACCCACTTCGTGGCCGAATGCCACTTTCGGTGCTTAACAGCCCATTTTCGGGACCCCGAACTGCGCGTTTTGGCCCCCGAACATTCGTTTTGCAACGGTTTTCATTCATTTTTGGCAGGTACCTCTGTTTTATAACTGGGAAGGCCGTAGAAGGGTGGAAGGCCAGTAATTGTTGAAGCAACCAGTTATATATCCTCCGACGCCCTCCGACGCCCGTTTTTCGCACTTCCGGGCTAATGTTGAACACCTTGGGGCCACTTTCTTGAACTTTGAACCACATATCTGTGATGTACACACTTGGGAGGATCCTAAAAGTTGGTGGCCGGCCAGTAATGTTTCCTGACGCTTTTGAACCCCTCCTTACAGGCTAATGTTGAACAACCTGGGCCCTTTTTCTTGAACTTTGAACCACATATCTTTGATGTACACACATGGGAGGACCTTAAAAAGTGGTGGCCGACCACTATTTCAACTTGACCGTTTTGACTCCTAGCCGGCCGGCTAGGTGGGGTGGCCGGCCGGCCACCTGGAGCTCCAAAAAGGGGCCGACCATGTTCCTCTCAATATCCACTTTACAGCTGTATAGCTGTTTCCCCCAGAAAATATCCCAATCCGGGGGATATTTTGTGGGGGAAAACTTGCCTAATTTTCTCCCACCTTTGCCCCTCCTTTACTCCCCTTTTTTTGTCGATATAATCAGCTGGCAACATTGCATACAAGGGTTAGAAAATTGGCTCCTCAAGCTTGAATAGAAAACTCCCTCTCCATCTCCCTCATTTCCTTGAAAACCTTCAAGTTCTACACTACCATTTCTTCTACACCACCAAGCTCTACCACCACCACTCCAATCCAGCAGCAAGGGGAGGAATTCCAGCAGCTAAGAGGCAACAAATTTGGTCCAAGAAGCAACAAAAGAATTGGTCTTCAAGGGTGAGTTGCAATTTCCCCTTTTTGGCCCATTTCTTGTATCTTTTGCAAGCCATACATGCTTATTGTTTTGAGCTCCGACCAAAACTGAAAAGGTCATTTTTTTGAGCTCATTTTCATGTCTCATTAAGGGTTTAACCCTGTTTGAACCCTCCATCTTGCACTTGCTTCAATACCCTCTTTGTATGTCAATATTTTGCATGCTTTTTCTAACCTACGTGTGATCTATTTTGGAGTTTCTCATGAACTGTAAGTAGGCTTATTTTGAGCCCCTCTTCAATATTGAAGAAGGGCTCATCTTTGTTTCGGACCTCCATATACCACTTGTCTCTATATCCATCTTTAGTCCCCTATTCTTGTATGACTTGGCAGCCTATCTTGGTTCCATTTTTGGTCATCTTACAGAGCTAGAAAAGTTCTTATTTTGGCCCATTCTTCATGTTTCATTAAGGTGCTTTCATGGTTTGAGGCATATTTTATACACTTCATGTTATATCTCTCTTTTAATCCCCATTTTTGCATGATTTGTTAGCCTATCTTGCTTCTGTTTTTGGACATTTTACAGTACTAAAAATAGTATTATTTTGGCCCATTATTCATGTTTCATTAAGGGTCTTTGGCTGTTTGATGAATATTTTGCATACTTTGTGTTATAGCCACTTTTGAGCCTCATTTTGCATTGCATTTCTAGCATGTTTGTATACTGTTTTGGAGTTTTTATATTTCAGTAAATAGTCATATTTTTGGTCCCTCTTCAATGTTGTAGAATGAAAATTTTCAGTTTGGGCTTTGCATATACCACTTCCCTCTTTGGCCACCTTTTGGCCCTTTTTCTTGCATGGGAGTGCAGCCATACCTGTGTTTTTTTTTGGGGTTTTTACAGTTCTGGAAAACATCATATTTTGGGCCACTCTTAAACTTTTTTGAAGGGCCCTAACCTGTTTGAGGACAGCAGCTGTGAGTTGCTTCTTAATCCCACGTTTAGGGCCATTTCTTGCATGCTAGTTTTGCACTGTTTTTGCTTGCTATTTGGCCATGTTTTGAACTGGAAAAATTCTTATCTTGGGGTTGCCTTGCTTCTGTGTTTTCATTGCATGTCCATTTTGTGCATGTTTGGTATAGCTATAGGCCATTTCGGGTGCCAAAATTCATATTTCGGGACTATTCCATGCATCGGGTGTACTTTCGCCTCGTTTCGGGGCAGTTTTCCCCCACATTTCAGTGCTTAAATTCCATTATCATGTTTGCATATGCCATTTCCATGCCATTGCATTGCGTACGTCATCGCCTCGGTTTGCGTGCCCGTGTGCACGCATTTCGAGGCACTTCATTTTCATCCACCGGCCTCTTATGTGAGTGTGGCTGAGGCTCACTCATGTTGGTATAAGTCCATGTTGCATTTTATATGCCATTTCCATGCCATTGCGTTTGCGTACGTCATCGCCTCGGTTTGCGTGCCCGTGTGCACGCATTTCGAGGCACTTCATTTTCATCCATCGGCCTCTTATGTGAGTGCGGCTGAGGCTCTCTCATGTTGGTATAAGTCCTATCATTATTTTTCATGTCCATTGCATTGCGTATGTCATTTTCTCGCTTTGCGTGCCCGTGTGCACCATTTCGAGCATCTGCATTTTTACAGCATAGTGCTACTAGTTGTATCTTAGATACATCTGTCATTTCTCAGTTTGCGTGCCCGTGTGCATGCATTTCGAGACATCTCATTTTCATAGCTTGTGTATGTTAGGATTGTATCTTGGTCGCATTTCATGCATGTCATGCATATTGCATCGTGTTCGGAATAGGAGTTAGCCCGGGCACGGGAACGAGGTGCATTTCGTACTCCGAGTGACGGAACGTATCCCAATTCCCTAGTCACCGACACTCCGGATTATCCATGATGGAGTTAGGTTTTAGCTTGTTTTTTGTGCATTCATCTATATTGAATTGTGCATTTCGACTCCTCGGCCATCATGCTCCGTATGCGTGATTGGTGCACGAGGATCGAGGCATGCATATATCTGTGAAAATACATTGCTATGCCCCTTTCCTGCTCTCTGTTGCAGCAAATGAAGAATCAGCAACTTTTCAGAGCTTGGCGCGTTTTCCCAAGGATCACTGCTAAACAGAGGCTAATTGGGGCATCCCGTGGATTTCCGCGCAAGATAACCCGGACATGCATCATCCATCAGAAGCAAGCATGTCCCTGGCTTGCACGCCAGTTCTATTTACTTTCTTAGTTAATTCATTAATTAATTAGGAATTGTATATATTCGGACTGTAATATTTGGACTGTAATATTCTTTCATTCAGGACTGTGTATTTATTCGGACCCTCTGTGGCGAGGGCATAACTGTAATAAGTGTGCATGTGTGTGTTGTATGTCTTCAACCCACACGTCTTTCTCCCTTTTATTTATTCGCTTATGATGGTTAGATTAGGGCATATTTCAATTAGCATACAGTATGATAGCATCTTTGCATTCATTCATTGTGTTTGCATGCACCGGGCTCGGCGCATCATACTAACTGCATTTGTATTTCAATTCCAAATTGAATACATGATAGTTGTAGCACCTCATATGCCATGTTTGAATACCGAGTTTGCTATAGTTGCATTTTGCATGTGTTGCATTAGGCATTCTGTATATCTTAGGATTCATGCATGATTTCTAATGAGTTTTCTATTTTGGCTTGGAGTACTCGGTAAGCTTTATGCTTTAGCATCCTTGCAATGCGTGTGAGTGACGCGCATGAATAGCATGCTACCATGAGGCTATATGCTTATGTGATATAACTGCCTAATGCCTGTGGGTGAAGGTTGGGTTACTTAAATTGGAATAAATCATCAAATGTTTCAAGCCTCCTGCGGGTAGCAAACCATTTCAAAAAGCGAACATGAAATGTTTTGTTCCAATTCGGGCGATCCAGTCTATATTTGATGTTGTGCGCATCACATAGTAACCTAGGCTAATAACCGGAATAAGAACTCAACATGTTTTCAAAAATAGATATCATGGTTAGTAGAGGCCGATCTTTGATCGGGCGAGCGGGGTGCTCACGAAGTGACCTTCCCCAATCGTACCCAAGTTCCCGAGCCGAGGCAACTTTGGTGATGACGGACACGTGGCCTTTGCACCGAGTCAGGGTTTCCTAAATTTCCAAAATAAATATTTTTTTTAGGGTGGGACTCCTGTATTTGGCAAAGCAGTCCATGTTTGGCACTTCTTTCAAAAATTTATTTTCTCAAAACGATTTGCCGGATTTGGACTCTTTGGTTCAGATTTAGAACCGTGACTACAAATCGAGTCCGAGCTGTAGCGAGGTCCCCCGCGGGCTTGTTACAACCACTTCCAAATCCTCTTTTACCCAAGCATGATCCCACCAAATACTAAGCTTTCCATCAACAACACAGCCATGAAACGGACCGGTGCTTCCACCTAAGTCATGAGATTGAAGATCTCATAGACAACAAAGTCATAGCTCCACCCCAAAAGCCAAATGTGACCACCAACCCACTCCCTGTACACAAGCAAGTCCCTCAACCAAGATATATATGCCTCATCCATACATTACCACCCACCTTCGACCTGAGCATATATATCACCCCCTCCTACCTATTAAAGTTGGTATTGTTCATCCATAATAGCATAGACTTGTTTACGATGAACATTTCCAACCTACAACATGAGCCTCATAAATTTGTGGTGACAACATTTGAAGAATGAAAGGTTTTGACCTTGGAAGGAGGTGTCAGTTTGTCACTAGGAATTCCTGGGGAATCATCTGAGAGGAATTATGACCCAAGCCACTACATTGTACCCGTTACTCAAACTAGGCTTGAGGTAGTGCTGCCGACCTTAATGGACATTAATGTGGTTAGGGAAGACGGCCCAAGCCAAGGATTGGATGATCTTGCAGATATGGAAGAAGATTTGGACAATCTACAATTCTTCAAAGAACAGGACCAAGGCAATTTACAGATTGGTTGGTTTGATCTGAGCTTGTCGACTGACAATAGGGGGTGGTTGAATAATGAATCAGACAAATAAGAGGAAACTGGAGTTAAACTAGAGAAAAAGCAAGTTAGGGTAGCTGTGCTAGCCGAGAAAGTGGAGGAGAAAGGGAAAATGTTAAAGGGCAATAGTACAAAAAAATAAACCCAAGAATTGGGTGTTGTGGAAACTACAAACGCTGAATTGGAAGCTGTGTTGGGGTAGTTTGAACAGAAGGCTGCAACATCCTGTCGCCCTAAGGGAGATAATTGTACTAAGGGTGATCTGAGTTGAGCCAAACAACTGTCTATTGGTAACTGAAAGTGAGTGGTGGGCAGATAGTGACTTGCATCTTATCCATACAGATGAAGACTGAGGGGATCATATCCCAGACAGTACTTTGTATGCGAAGGAAACAGACCACCTCACCAGGAGTGGATAGTATTTCAAACCTTCACATTTGGATCAGGCTAAACCCTCAAGAAAAGACTGAGAGATTGGGAAGGAAAAGGAGAAGAAGCTGGAGGAGGAGCTGGTTCTGAAACAACTAAAAAACATCTAGGCTGGAGGAGGAGCTGGTTCTGAAACAACTCAAAAACATCCAGGCTAACATCTCTATTTGGGGCCTCCTCATGGCTTTGTGAGTACACCGACAAGCAGTATTGTCGGCGATGGATAAGGTTAAATTGTCTATTGATACTATGCCAGAGCAACTTGTTGGCTTGATCTTCCCAAGTAGCACCAAGCCTACGCTTACCTTCTCCGATAAAGATCTACTGCTGAAAGGATCGGCTCACAACAAGTCACTGTACATATCATGTGCGGAGGAAAGTGGGTTCCAGCGGTTTTAATGGACGCCGGCTTTATAATCAACGTCTGTCCTTCTCGCACTGCCTATGCGATAGGCCTGAAACTGGAAGATTTCATCCCCACTGCCCAAGTGATTCAAGCATACGACAACATGAGCAGAGAAGTTATGGGGACGGTAAAAGTCCAAGTCCAAGTGGCCCGCCCTTCCGAGCATGAGATTGAGTTCCATGTATTTGATGTACCAACTACCTTCAACCTACTTCTAGGGAGGCCCTGGTTACATTACAAGAATGCTGTGTCCTCCACCCTTCATCAAATGCTGAAATACCCTCATGAGGGAGAAGTGTCCACCGTTTTTGGGAATTTATCTATTCATCTACCGCCAGAGGTAACTACGCCTATGCTGGAAATCAATCACAGTGACGAGGATGTATTTCTTTTGGGATTCACTCTAGCGGAAGCCCAAGTAGTACAAACCATCTTAGCTGAGGACGAAGGCATGTATGTCAATGCTCGGTCCATTTATTTCATGAACATGTTACGACATATTCCAGGAATAGGGCTCATAAAGAGTGAGAGGAAAGGTGTTACGATGCCAACTGAGGTGCCACATAGTCCTCATGCCTTTGGGTTGGGCTATGTGCTCACCAAAGAGGACTGGAGAAGGAAGGGAGAAGAAATAAGAGAAAGGGCCAAGGCCAAAAGAGCCGAGAAGCATTATGAGCTGGTTCATAGGCCAATTTGGGGAACGTTGAATGGGCACTTTGTCAGAGAAGGAGAGGATTTCCCCTTCTGCTACTTTCTTGAGCCTTGGGTGGATTTCTCAACGAAAAAGTGTTTCCCCAGATTTGAAATCATCTTTGACTACCAGCTCCAAGACAGTGACGAAGTGGGGGCTGATTCAAGCGTCAACGTCGGCCAGAGCAAAGAGAACGATTCAGACAATAGTGAGGCTGGAGTAGGGGCAGCACTGGCTAACCTCTTGACAAATCCTGAGACCAATACGGAGAACTTGAGGGATACCTTTACTGTCTCTATGATCGGAGAGGAACCGATTGTGGATTCCACCAGTTGTATTCTAGATGCGTCGAGGGTGCCACGCCTCACTTGGCAGTTGGAGAAGGGCTTTATTTCTAGTTTTGAATCGGATGATGAGTCGGAATCTGATTCCACCAAGTTTGTTGAGTCAGAATCAGATTCGAGTCAGTCTGGGAAGTCTGAGTCTGGCATTTCCGAGAGTGGTAATTAGGATGCCAAGGTCTTGTCTAGGTTATCTTTTGCATTTTCTTTTGAGTTGGTTGTAATCGAAGAGCCAAAACTTCTGAATGAAAGTGCTGCAGATTCTGTTTACTTCTCTGTGCCATTAATTTATTGCATTGATCAAGATTTTCAAAATTTTAATGAAAACGAATAGGGAGAAATTTCTCAGGCTTTGAAAACTTGATTGACCAAGAGAAGGATGGGCGTGCTAAGCCTTGTATAAATGAGATCACTACAATTAACATGGGCATTAAGAAGGATCCCTACTTAGTCCAGATCGGGTCCATGTTGTCTTTAGAGGAATGTGAACATTTAATCACTTTATTAAAATATTTCAAAGATATGTTCTCGTGGTCCTACGAAAACATGCTACGTGGATGGTAGGTGACAAGGTCAAATGGGCACCCCCAATGGTAGTAACTCAAGCTCAGGCCCCGGAGGGTAGATCTCCTCCGTAACAATATTAGTGCCAATGTCCTCTGTCGCCCTATCAGCCTCGTCAACCATAGGCTCCTCAACCTCTGCAGCAGGTGGAAGCACTGGTACCTCGAGAGGAGCACCGTCATATGGAATATCATCCACCATGGGTAAAGTCGTGGGTGGTGAGAGAATGATGGCAAAAAAGAGAAATAGGTAAAAAAAAATGCCAAAATCAAACCCTAGGAGAGAGAAAAAAAAGAGAAAAAGTCAAAACTCGGGGAGAAAGTACTAAAAGCCTAGAAAAACCCGTGAGAGTGAGCCCAGAACAATGAAAAGCTCAAAAACTCAACCAAAACAAAATCCAATCGATTCAAAATATAGAGGGCCACGAGTGTTTTGCGAAAAAAGTTTGCGTGGGACGTTGGGTAATGCGAATAAAGTGAAAATCTAGAGAGAGAGAAAGAGAGAGAGCCTAGAGAGAGAGAGGGAGGTGATTTTCGGATGGTGTAGATGTGTTAGAAGTAGGCCCCAGGTTAAAATCCCATTTCTGTCTTCGTAGTCAGGTCAGGTGGCCGGCTGTGCATCAGTTGGCCAGCTGACTCCTCAAGTGGTCCAAGGTTAATTTTTGCTAAGGTCTTGCTTATTATGTGCATATTGGGTCCTGTATTCATTTGTAACGTGAAGAATTGAAGAAATTAGGTTTGGTCATGTTTCAGAAAATTCTGAAATGTGATTCTTGATGCACCGTTTCAAGTCCTACCCCAATCTCAAGCTTGAGCAAGTTGTATCCTTTTTGAGCATTTGAGGACCTCCAAATAGTAATCGGAGATCTTTTTTAGGTGTTTTCAAAAACCGCCACTCTTCTGTTTATCTTTTGAATTCTATTTCGTATTGTGTTGCATGGAACATCCATCACATCATATTTCACATCAATTACAACAATTATATTGCATCGATGTGCATCGTGTTTTTTGTTTTATTCACCCCTGTCACACAAGTGTGACTTGGCTTGTACCCCCTTTCCCTTTTTGCATGAAGCGTAGTTTGGCTTGTACTTTTTGTCTCACCTCCTATCTGCGTGAAATGTAGTTTGGTCGTCCTCCTTTCTCCTGGTTAAAACCTTCCCTCTTTTTGTATGAAATATGGTGAGATACGTCTATTGGTTACGACACCCTTGTTACACTTTGGTTAAAACTTTCCCTCTCTCCGTATGAAATACGGTGAGATATGCCTGTTGGTTACACCGCCCTTCTTTCTCCCAGTTAAAACCTTCTCTCTCTCCTTATGAAATACGGTAAGATACGCTTGTTGGTTACACTACCCTTGTTAAACTTCGGTTAAAACATTCCCTCTTTCTCTATGAAATATGGTGAGATACGCTTGTTGGTTACACAACCCTAGTTACACTTTGGGTCAAACCTTCCCTCTTTCTGTATAAAATACGCTGAGATACACCTGTTGGTTATACCATCCTTGTTTCCTCCGGTTAAAACCTTCCCTCTCTCTGTATAAAATACGGTGAGATACGTCTGTTGGTTACACCACCCTCTCGTCCTTTTGCATGAAATGAGTTAGGATGTTGCTTTGCTTGGTTACAACCTGTGATACCCCAAAAGTCGGGAACATCATATAATATATTAACCATTAAATACAAGGTTTATCTAAGGTTACAGGAGTAGGAAACATCACTAATGAGTCCTTTGGATAATAACCAAACAAGATCTCAGGAAGGTCAGAGGAGTCAAAATGGCCTCCCTTCAAAGTCCAACCACCTTAGATAGTAAAGTTACCTTTTTGACAGATCTTGACAAGGTATTAACACAAGGCCTACATGAGTTAATGGGGTATAAGGATAGGTTACAAATGTTATATATATACAAATTACAAATCATGTCTTAAATACAACATGGGATCTATCACTTACAATCTCAAAACACATTTACAAACTAGTTTCTAATCCTCCTAGGGTAGCCGTACGTCCTCAAATGCTTCAGCTTTGCCTTTGACCGGTCTAATAGTCTTCAATACATGGCATGAAACGCCATGAGCTTTGAATGCCTAGTAAATGCAGACACACCCTATCCCTTTTTCCCAATCCAATACACGATCACATTTATAGCAAGCAAGTAGTGAAGCATGATATTCAAGTCAATAACAGCAAATTCAATAGTAGAAGAAAGGAACATGCCATTCAAATAGATAACAGGGGTTATAATGTTAGTGGTCAGTATTCTAGAAATCCCCCAAAGAGATTTCATCCTCCCAATCACAGGAATTGGACACTGGACTATTCAGAACTCTCATTTTTGCTGCTTTGTTACAGAACTAACCTCGGATACCTACCAACGGTTATACACCGCGTAGCGCCAATCGCAGGGCCTCAAAAGGCACGGCGAAAAGAAAAATATTTTATCTCCTGAATCGAACCTTATCCTTTCAAAAAGGTTTTATCCTCCTGAATGTCCCGTCCAGACCCAACCTTATCTGACCAATCCAACCATCGTAAAGAGTCCGAATACGTCCATTCCATTCTAGGGTTTACACGACAACTGCTTGCGCAAGACTTA